CACTCTGACGTGTGTTTTTATGCTTAAATCAGCCATTAATCCGTATAGTACCTTTTAAAATAGTATCGTACCACTATACGTTCGACCCCCTCAAGTATAGCCCTATGAAAAACAACACAACTTTAAAATGTAAAGGCCAATATATAGGTCAAATTGTTAGTATATCGCTAGACAAAAATATAACAGCAAAAAATCGAAACGGGTACATAAATCATTGAAATATATCGCCTGTAGTATACTATTTTATTATAAAGTGTATCCCTTGATATTATAAAACTATAAGAAAATAACTTAATTATCAGTAGAAATTTATTCGTTATAGGGTTCTCCTTAAAAAATGTAATTTTTAAGAAAATATTCAAGGGTCCGCCTTAATACAGAAGAAAATTTATTAAATATATTCCTTGATTATGTATTTGATATCATGGATGACGAAATTGATCGATGATGAGGTAAAATAAAGTGACTGTATTCCTTCTTACTGCAATCCACCATGAATATAAATCCTTAAAACGTATAAATCATGGCCATTAGGCATACAATTTTCAAGGAACTTGACAATGAAAAAGGATAAAACTAGTAATTACTCAAGATGAAAAAGAGTATATTTTGTTACACATTTAATTTAGATATACTTCTTTATGTACAGGACCATGTGTGCATTTTCAACTGGTTTCTTTTAAGGAAACACCCTTTACAAGAAAACTCAACACACACCATTCTATATAAATTAAAGATATGACTGAGATTTAATCAAAAGAAATTTAAGTACAATTAAGTAAAAATAATCCAAATTATCACTCATAACTATATTTGATTTAGAATACAAGTTAAAAAATTGTACAATGCCTATTGTATATATAAAAATCAACAATGAAAATTAAAGAAAAACATAAATTTTTAAGGTCATTTAAAGGTCAAGATCAGTTCAACCTTTTTAAAGGACTTGTTTAAAGGCTTATTTTTGTACATGCATGAAGATAATTCAATAATTAATTACAAAGTCACAGTCAATTTAGCAAATAATCAGTAAAGATTCAATAAGTTGAACTTCAAGGTCAAGGTCATTCATGAGTCAAGGTATTCTTGAGTTTGATATACATGAAGGTCTTATCATAAACGATGTTGTTTCAAATATGAAGTTAATCCCTTTATAAAACAAAATTTGTGAAAGAGTTACCAACGCTCCCCGCCTAAGGGATGTTTTACATAAGCTCAAACTGTGCTATTCAAAATTTGAGGTATCAAGACTTTCAGTGAAAAATCTTGATCAATTGTATATCTGTACATGCAACAATCAATTTATTACAGAAATGGAATAAAAAAAATTCCGGTGCTTATGTCAACAGAAATTGTTTGTATAGTTGTGATCATTATTTCAAATCCACAAAACGTTCCCAATACAAAATCAATACAGGGCTTGGTATGTTACACGGTATATTTCGTGTCTGGTTCGTAATTTTTCATCAATCAAGGTATGTGGGCGCTTCTCGAATGACATTATATTTCCTTGGGCCTTGCTATGCTTTGACCTCAAAGTATGGCCTCGTCCTTTGAGGTTTTGTGCCAAGTAATTTCAAATCCATTGAACAAGCAATTTCAAAATCCTTAGAAAGATAAAGATATTAAGGACTGGAAAGACCATGTTAAGCCTTGGTCTTAAAGGTAGGGATCCGGCTATTGCTCATGAAACATCGTGTTACTATCGTGAATATTTGTGCCAAGAAATTTCAAAATTCTTTAATACAAATGTTGATAAATTGATGTAAAAGTTTTGGAAAAAAATACCCTATAACAGAAATGTAATGGTTTGACCCCAAAGTGTGACCGTGACTTGTAATGTAGAGGTCCGGGTGCAACGCATGACATGTCGTCCCATTACTGTGAACATTTGTGCCAAGTTATTTCAAAATCCATTGAACGATGATACAAGACATGCCAATGAGCTGAATGTCTAGCCCGCCCTGTAAGCTTCAGATGAAGGAGAAAGATGTTTACATAGATGAGATATGCGCAACACATCCCCTTTATATCCAAGGTAAAAAAAATTATTGACGTTGCATCATCTTAGGTGATCTTGGTCTCTGATCTGGTGAAATGGTTCATGTGCATCACACGAAGTCTCATAATGAAGATTTGTGCCTAAAAGCTCAATGTTATATGAAAATTACTCCGTGCTCGAAGAATCTAAGACATGGACAAGTTTGGACGCACATGCGCACACGCAAACACGGAACAGCCATTTTGTCAACTATGTCGAGCTCAGCGCAAGCGGGCTCAAAAAACCTTTATTACTAAGCAACATACTTCCAAACAAGATACAGTGGCGGACAAAACCAAATTTTGATATTTTTAATTTAAAACATTTGACGTCTTGGGGAACTTTGATCTTCATTTTGGCAACAATTTACATCTAAACTTTCACCATAGAGAATATTTTGTTCTAAATTATATTAAAATTAAATCCAATCGTAATTATATTAAAAAATATACCACAAATAAATTTGATTTATCTGTAATTTGTGACCTTTGACACGAAGAAGACCTTGACCCTTGCCCAAACACCTGAATTTCGCGCGACACTTCCGACCTCAACTAGTGCATTGACGTTACGCTCCGAACTTTTTTGGTACTGTGCGCACCTGAACTCTGGACATAATTTTTTCTATTTAAGCTCTGGCACATTATATAAAGCAGAAAAACAGCCAATGGTAATGCACAACTTGGAGGTATACAATTTAGTTTAACGTTTCCATCTAACCCGCATTGCGCTTATAGTGAATTTTTGGAGGAAATAGTCTATGTAAAAAGCCCTCATGGCCATTGGTGCAGCAAAGCAGAAAGTGCCTGCGATATAAACAAGCAGATATGGTACTGATCACTCTTGTGAATTATGTCGAAATCCCGACAGCTGTTTTGAACTTATGAAAGTAGATTTTGTCAACAGCTATTTTATGCAGCAGGAACTGGAAAAAAACAGGCGATACGCACAAATGGGGGATGGTATGCATTACTCCTGAGGGGAGATTCAATAAAATCCCGCCAGGCAAAGTTTGCCTTTGAAAGTGGAACAAGATGTTTCTATTTTAAGCTCTGCCCAGGCCACTTTGTACAGCGAAGCAGAACGTGCCCGCGATATATACAATATGTATTGTACTGATCACTCCTGGGAATAAATGTCCAAATCCCCCAGCAGTTTGGACCTACGAAAAGCTGGACAATATTGTGTCTAAATACCCAATCCATTCATTAATAATTAAATTATAGCCAGCTAGAAGAGAAAGAAGACAAGAAAGGGTTTTTTGTCGCAAAAAAACATGTCTTCCCCGTATTGTACTCCAAGAATAAAATAGCGGCATGTAAATCCCACCAGCATTTTGGAACAACTTTGATAGAGGACCCTATAGATTATATCATATACCAAGTATCAAAAGATCTAAGTCCTTGTACCTTAAAACAAGAATATCTTTTAAGCTTTTACTATATATGAAAAAAACGAGAAAAAGTAATGACCACCGGGCGGGCATTTTGACCCCAGAGCTTTAAATTTGAAATAGTCTTAAATAGTCCCTACCAGACAATTTGCCTTATGCACAGTATCTATTTCTCTATGCCTTGTGGGTCTTTAGAAGAATTGCTTTGAAAGTTTATTCTTATAATCCTTTTGGTTACCATGGTAACCAGATTTCTGCATGGAATCAAAGTCTTTGAAACAACTTTGAAAGCCCTTCAACCCAAGAACAATCCTTGTAAGTTTGGTTGAAATTTAGTTTACTACATAATATCACACACACACACACACACACACGCACACACGCACACACACGCACACACCCACCCACCCACACACACACACACACAAGCACACACACACATACACAAATGAATCGGTACGGTGGCATATAAAAATGACAAACGTTAAAATTTTGGACGCCATCGCAATGGTAACGGTCAACGATAATGTGGCTGTAGCAATAACTTTTTTTTTCTTCGAAAAAAAGCGAGTTTAAAAACATACTTCGCAAGCTTTCTAACCCAAATCTGGCAATGGTACAAAGACATCTCACTTATAAATTAAGTGTTGTAGGTGGCCAAAGAATTATATTATGGAATATAACAAATAAACACATAGCTTACTTTTGTAAACTTTTAATTTTTGTAATATTGTCATAGATTTCTAAAAACACAAAGTAACTAAGTTTCAGAATGGGAAGTTAATACATCTGTAGTTATTTTAAAGACATTATGAATCAACAAAATAATTATTGCTGATATTTTGTTTCATGGGTCGGCCTTTTAAATGATTATTTAAAAGTATATCCCTTGAAATAAAAAATAAATGTTAAAGGGTTCGCCTTTGAACTGATAAAGTATATCCCTTGGAATAAAAAATAAAAATTAAATGACAAAATTTGTCATAATGTTAAAGGGTTCGCCTTTGAACTGATAAGTATATCCCTTGAAATAAAAAACAAAACTTTTAATGACAAAATATGTCATAGCGCCTTTGAACATTTTAATGAAAAGGGCGCTATATAAATGTGGTATTTATTATTATTATTATTATATTGTTAAAGGGTTCGCCTTTGAACTTATAAAGTATATCCCTTGAAATAAATGATAAAACTTTAATAACAAAATTTGTCAAAATGTTAAAGGGTTCGCCTTTGAACTAATAAAGTATATCCCTTGGAATAAAATTAATAACTTGAATGACAAAGCATGTCATAATGTTTAATGATTCGCATTAAAACGATTTAGTAAATCCCTTGAAAATATATCAATTTAACTGAATTATTATAATCAATACGACATTTCGATGGACGAAAGGGCTCGCCATGATTATGTTACATCGTAATCAAGTGTATCCTTTCACGTAGACATTAGTTAAATACAATTTTTAAGGATTCGCCTTTTTAAAATAAGTTTACTCCCTTGTTTAGAAACAATTATAATAGATACAAAAATAATAAACAAAATGCAAAACATATCATTTTGACTTATGAAAGGGCTCGCCTTTATTGTATAATATTATAATAAAGTGTAATCCCTTCATATAATAAAACTAATTTAGAATAATTAAATCATTTACAATTTTCAAAGAACTCGACTTTGAATATAAACTACGTTTATCTTGCAGAAATAAAAAAGCATATGCCAGTGTTAACAACATGTTAATAAAACAAAGATTATAGGTGTCACAAAACCAAGTCATAAATTGTCAGGAAATAATGTACCTTCTACAAGGAAATAATGTACTTTCTACAGGGAAATGATATACGTTTGTTAGTATATACTTGAAGTTTTGATTAATCATATTTGACATACTGAAAGCGGTAATTGCATCTTCTTTTAACTTTGATTGCATTAGTAGCAATTGCTTATTTCTAGATTTTGTAACAAACGTATCATTTGTTATTGAACATAATTATAATAAAATACTACACATAATACACATAAAATATATGTACATAGTATACAAGAAAATATAATTAGAGTAATGAACTCATGTCTTACATACACATTTAATTAATAACGACGTTTTAAGACAATATTTTAAAGATGTATTGAAAAGGCTAGGTGCTTCAAAAGTAAGAACTGAATTTTCAAGATGAGTAATGAGTAAATTTTGTCAATATACATGACAGTGTAGAAGGCTCTCTTTCCGAAATTAATGTACATGATGGTCATAAAAAGCAATCAAGGATTCTAAATCAACTTGTTCAGTAAAAATATCAGATGATATGAAAACTTCTATATTAATTCTCAATATAAGGAGACATACTTGTGTCAGAATATGTGACAGCCATCTAAAACTCTAGCCTACAAGTGTATTTGACAATAAAACACTTAAATGGGTGTAATGAAACTATGGCTGTACAAATATATTTCCCAATACATGATACTGATGTAGACAAAGGCATAGGGCTGATAATGACTTTGTTTGCTTTGTTTTCCTTGAAATACAAAGTTCAATTTATTTACAAAAATGGAACTTAAGCATTAAAAATGCACATGAAAGTGATTGATGAAGATAATTAGCATAACTGATAAAATTGCTCAAAACAAAATTGTACTAATCGATATATATAGCTTTGTTTTCCTTGAAAAAAAAGAGTTCAATCTATTTACAAAAATGGAACTTAAGCATTAAAAATGCACATGAAAGTGATTGATGAAGATAATTAGCATAACTGCTCAAAAACAAAATTGTACATAACCGATATATGCAAAAGAATAAATGTAAAAGAAAATCAAATAATACATATAATGTACATTGAAGTTGAAACATTCAAGTAAAAAAAACTATACAGTAAAGCCAAATGCTTTTCTAAATGAAAAAAAACAAGTACTTTAATATCAATACCACCATTGTTAAACAACTGATCAATTTAACCATATGCATTCATATTAATAAACAACAAAGTGAAGATAAAACAAAACATTACCTTAAGTGCAATAACATAGGTGCATTTTTCCAAAGCTAGACTTTCAGAAAACTGCCTTTATAGAATAATAAAACCTAATTAATGCTTCAGTCAATTTTATGCAATAAAAGTACAGCAAAATCAACTCAAATATGAATTACTTCTAAAAATGAAAAAAGAAATATACAAATGAAGGAAAACACCACAAAGATACACGGTAGAAACATATAACTTACAATGGATATGATTAAAAAATAAATGGTTGTCTCCAAAATGGTAAACAAAATCTCTGAATGTATGAAGTGGTCAGTAAATAGAAACACAAATTAGCTTACTTAAAACCAAATTAAACTTTTTTTTTAATAAAAAATAATCCAATAAGTCATCTTATATACAACTTAAAAGCAACTCTCATCACGTTTACATGTAGGTACACAAAATGAATACACATATATATCAAATGCATTAATATTATGCTATGTAATCTGCTAAATTCTACAAAAAACATTAATTTAGTATGTATCATCAGTATTATCAATGTTTTAAAGCCAATTTATCTTCAATATATCTGAAGGTTCAATAAAGAAATAACAGCAACACAAAACGGTTCGTTCAAAGAATGTTTATGATCAGAACAATAAAAATATACAGCTTGGTTATGACCCAAAACCTGTCGAGTGATATTGATATGATATTTATCTACATAATGTTTAAAATTCACTAAACATTCCCTTAAATTGAAAGCCAATTCTCCATATTTGGTAATGAAATATAAGGTTATATAAACAAACAAAAGACCTCGAAATTAGCAATAGTTCTTAAAATTTGTAATGTTGTTGTCATTATGTCAAACAAAAAAGCATTTCATTCTATTAACACTAAATAAAATATAACACATCAATATAAAAACAATGTGTAATGTAGCATGGAAAGAATCTTTACAAAACAGCCAAAGTAAAAAAATATATAAACACTGCTTTAAGCCTAGTAATCTGATAAAGGATAGATCCCTCGAGAGAGCAATGATATAAAGTCACGAAGTGAAATTTTCAAACTCAATTTGATAATAGAAGACTTTGTCTTATGTTTGACTGAGAGACTGTTTAAGTAAAATGTTTATCTACACGTGAAACAATATGCTGATGAAGAAATGTAGAAGAACAATTTTTATAATATTTTACGTTCGTTACGTCGCTCATAACCCTAATATAATCTACAAACACAGCAACTGTCAATTGAAAATGAAGTATTTCCGTATTTTCTCAAATAAGAAAATAGGCTGTACACAAAATTCGTTATAAAGATGTCTGAATGATTTTATGGCCGTGCATAAATGGTTGTTTGCAATAAAACATAAATCTAGCAGCCGGGGCTATAAAAGTAAACAACCGTTTAGAGTTAACCATAAATAACTATCAAACATCTTGGTATACAAACGTATATCAAATAGAAACTGTCAAAGATTTTTTTTCTGTATAAACAGCAATTTCAAAGTCGCTTTGTTTTTAATTTAGAAAGAGATTAAGAGACAGTACTTGCCATATTCATAACGAAACACATAATTTATCACAAAAATAAAATAAGATAATTAGTCTACTATATAAACAAGATAAAACTTTCAAACACACATTGCTTTATCTTCTACAAAATATACAAATGTACTTGTAAACTATTACAACAAAATTGATTGCTCTCTTATCATCTAGATAATCAAGTTCTTTGCCGGTTTCCATACGATGAGGTTTCATACTTTATCAAGACATACACATATTATGTGTGAAATGTCAATCTAAAAGTATAATGTCAATATGCACACGACGCAACACTTTTTGAATAGCAAAAAAAACAAGACTTTCAGAAAAGTAAAAATTAAAAAAAGAATGATTAATATGAAACAAAAAGAAAAATACAATTATGCAGATAAAAATATTGTAACATCAAACTTGGAATTCTTAAAGTCATTTATACTAGAAATTCGAACTTACATCAAATAGAAAATGACAAAAACATGTAAACTATATGTACAGTCAATCTAAAGTCAACTCTACTTTAATTAATAAGACAGTATGTGACACATCTATACTGAAATATCTCAAAATTATATGAACTTAAAGGTTCAAAATTATAAACATGATGTGAATAACAAATGACTGTAACGAAATAATAATATATGTTACAGCAAAAGTGATTGTTTTTTCTTCATTTAGATAACGAAGTACATTTTCCATTTTCATTCGATGTGGTTTAATAGACAGACATTTATAGCCACCTTTTAACAGCGTGTTCAGTCAATTAACTCGGCTGTTGTGTCAAGTATGCACTTTGTGATCTCAACAGCTTTCTCTGCCTTTTCACAATCAAACATTTCAGATGGTATTTGTTGTCGTCCCAAAGCAGCATCTGGATATTGCATGCAAGAATAGTCTCCAGTAATACGCCCCAAGGATGTAGCCTAAAAACGTAACGAATTGTGATAATAACAGAAAACATTAATAAATTAATTTAAAATTAATGCCGTCAATGTCTACACGCACTTGTGAAATTATCATGCTAAGTATATGATGGCATATTTTTGATGTAGGTAAATGGGTTGTATTAAAAATGTTATATTTTATCTTATGTCCCTATTACTTCCCCTTATTATTCATATAACATCCCGTTTCGTCAATGTATATTTCTCCGAAAGCATTATCTCTACTTGAAAAAGAGTATTCAAAAAGGTTAGAATAAATGTCATTTGCATGGAAATTCAGAACTGTTAGTTCAACCTCATTGTAGTCAATTTGATTTTTTCTATTTATTTATTTGTATATTATTTTTGTACTTCTCAGATCCTATTTGAAGTTTACATCTCATTGTGATTATAAGTATTTAGTGGCAAAAACAACAAAAGCCGTTCGCTGGACAGTGCGACCCACTTCTCTCATTACATATAGCATGAAAAGCAAAGTAGAAAAACGGGCTTTGTATAAAAAAATCTTTCAATTTTAAAGAGAATATCAATGATAATTTTTGTGAAATTACGAAATTATCAAGAGAGGTAATTAAAAAAGAATGGCCTATACTTCGGGAATATTTGCCCTTTAGAAATGTATTCTTATTTTGAACGTTAACAACTATTTCATGTCTGATTGATATGGTACCACATACTGATAATTTACAAGTAAGCTAAGTTCGAAGTGAATAGTTTTTAAAGTTTTCAGTCATCACATCAATGCTTTTACTTAATAAGTTTTCAAATTAACAAGCAATTATCAAGGTAACTATTGCAAGCAATACAAAAGTCCCCTACCGGTTAGAACACCTGCAACATTCTGAAGGTCCATGGCCATTCAATTTAGCAATTGTGGAAGACATGAATGAACTTTAATCTTTTGTGTTCTGAGTTTATATGTATCATAGTTATGTGTAAAGTTGCCATGCATTATAAGAAAATTATGTTTATACATCAGATAATCAAATATCTAACTTTCTCAGAATAAATATGTATAACTATTAATTCAACTTTTTTCTATTTTAAGTAAATTTGTTTGAAAAGTTCAAAGTTCTTTAAAGTGATTTCAGGAAACCGTTTCTAGGGATGGCCAGACAGATGGACTGTCAGACAAATGGCCAATTTTAAATCATCTTTCCTTGAAACCGGAATAAAACATTTTTAAAAGCAAAATTCTTAAACTAAAGAGAAGATAAAATATAAAATAAAGATGATAGACTTATAAACATCGTCATACATGATGTGAGTAGTGACAAACAACAATTATAATAAGTTTAAAGTAGTCACAATTTATAGTAACAATCAAGAAAAGTAAAAAAAACATCAAAAACACATCATTTATTGTAAAAAACAAGAAGAAACAAACAATTTTCAAGTATGAAAATGACGTATAATCATGGAAACCCAGGCACTAGACTTTAAAATCTAATCACATATGATGTAAGTGTTGATCATAAACATATATTTAAAATTTGAAGTAAAACCATGACGAAATAAAGTTTTAGGGTAAATAAGGAACAATTTAAGTTTAAGGGGGAGATAATTCTGGAGGGATGGACGCTAGATTTACAAACCTTGTCAAATTATTATTGGGGAATATGAAGTTAATCCTTTCAAAAATTAAGAACTTTGAGTAAAGAAAATAACAATTTCTAGACAAAAAACTAAGTTCAAGGAGCACATAATTCTAGAATTAGTCAAGCTAGTGTACTGAATCTTCTAAAACATGATTTGTGTGATTATAAGGAACGTATACTTGAAGTTTGAAGTAAATACCTTTAATACGTTAAAGAATAAACATTATTTCTTTATAGAAATTCTAATTTCAAAAGTTCAAGGATGATAATTCTGATAATATAGTTGCTAGCATTATGAACATTGCTACACATGATGTGGGTGATGATAAGAAACATGTATTTGCAGTTTGAAGTAGATACATTAAGAAATACGAGTAAAGACGTCATATAACAACATTCTTTCATGAAAATTCTAAGCAGCTCAAAGGGATAATTCTGATAATTTTGATAACTAACAAGTAATAAAAATTTTCTCCACCTGAGTAGAACCATCGACGTTCCGTAGGCTAGCTTGATAACTTCCTTAACAGAATCCAGAGTCCCTGCCGGGATTCAAACCCACAGCGTGAGGTTGCAGTGGTTTGAAGTCAACGACCTTTACCACTCGGCAATGGACGCCCCTCCTTGATTTATTCTACGACGCTCTCTCTTTTGAACTTATCAGACTGGCTTTTGTTTAACAGATCAAGACATATACTTCAATATACTTATGCAAATAAATTTTGAAATGATCCTCTCTATCAGTTTGCATCTTTATTTTGACTTAATATTTGGACAGAAAATTTGTAAAAAAACAGTCTTTGAAATACGCTAGTAGTGAATTATGTTTATATATTTGACATATGTAGTATAAAAACAATCATTAAGCATGTAAAGTTTGTCACTTGGATGTTTTCATTTATTTTTATACAATCATAAATGACCAAACATCATGAGAATGATACAACATATTATTTAAAGTTTCAATATTTCTGAAAAGAAAATAAGTCATTCTGACATCTACATTATAGTTCAGATAAATGATTGTAAGCCCAAAATCATACGGTAGATGCTGAAAATTTTGTATACAGGTGTCATTTAAGGCAAACCACATTTCTTTTTCACTAAATGAAACTATCAAAATATCACAATTTACCTTGGTTAAAAGCAATCCATCATTAAGACCATTTGCGATATTTGCCAACGAATGATCTCTTAGTCTCGCTTTATTTGCATTTTTGGCAAACCAAGCTGCTTTTAAAGCTTTTTCAGCGGCCTTAAAACAAATAAGAACATATTTCAAATAACTATCAGTGCGTACGTCGTACAGACAAAAGTGATGGAGATTTTTTTCTTCATGACTTGAGAAAAAGAAAAAGAAATTTATAAAAATATGTTTAGTTTCACATGAAAATAAGTATTAGTTATAGAAAGAGCATTGAAACACGAGGCGTAGCCCCCGAATATAAATCAGATTGCCGAGTGTTTTGATGCTCTTTCTCTTTTGTATCATAGTCAAACATAAAAACACGTTCCCTGATACCACAATATGAAACCCCACAAAAAAGGAACCAATGAACGAGCATCTGAATATGACATTCCCATTGCTATCCCTTTCTCTGTCGTCACAACATGTAAACCCCGGACAAAATGAACCAATCAATGGGCATGCTCTTGAGTGCGGGTAACGGATACCTGCACTTTAGATAACGCACTGTGCATGTATATGTATACGATTTAACTCTGTCACATTTTCAACAGAAAGGTCCCCAAACTTTGATACAAGCATTTATACGTCACTCTCTAAGAATTTAAATTCATTACTTAGAGGAAACTTATTTTCAACGATTTAGTTTATCAGAAGTTTGTTCAAAGATTAAATACCTTATGACACTTATAGCACACCCAGTTGAAGCTTAAGTCATCGGCTCCTGTCGAAATATTACTAATGGCAGCTTTATAGTCATGAACAGCTTGTCTGTGCCAGCGTTTTGCTTCTCCAATATGCTGTACAATCGCTTTTTCTGCTCTATGATGGGCAAAATTACCTGTACGTGTAGATCTGTTATAATCTTCTTTGTTGTCGTAAAAGTGTGCTGCAAGAGTGCATCCTCTTCTATAAATAGCCTCACTAGACAATCTAAATGTTGAGCGCGACATATCTGGAGGCATTCTTCCGGTGTCATTTGAAATTTCATCATCAATAATCTCGTTATTCTCCAATTTCATCACTATTTCATTTATGTAATTAAACACACGCCCGGCGTATTCTCGGTGACTTGTGTTTCTATCCGGATGCCACTGCATCCATAAACGATGGAGCACCCCTTTTTGCCCAGCTTCGTCCAATTTCCAGGCATCTTTTAGCATTTGTCTTACGTGAAGAAAGTTTTTGTCAATAGGAATTGAACCAATTCGTTCAATGTCATATTTTACTAAATCTTGAACAATCTCCTGCTCCTTTGGTTTGAATCTATACAAGCGGTATATAGAAACAGTTATTAACTCATTCTTACGACCAACGTTCACATCGTATGTAATATCGAGAACATGAGCTCTTTTGTTTTCTTTCCAAATGTCAGCATACATGTAAACTGGATCAGTTAAATCGCCGGAGTCTTCAACTTCAAGTGCAACATACATATATTCATACATCTTAAATGGAGAAATGCTTTGTTCTAAGAAAGCGTGGAATTTCTTTTCTACATAAGTTCCAGGTGGAGGGAAAATCGGAACATTCCAAGATGCCGGGAGGTCGTATGCATCAATTTGTAAATTATCAAGTTTTCTACTTATTTCTGACGAATTTTCTAATAATTGAAGAATTTGTGACAGATAAATAGTCATTCGTTTACCAAGCCTGCTCTCAGTACATAGGTCGACCAATGTCAAGAGACCTTGCTTATCATTTATTAAGTCAGTTAAAGTCTGTTCACCAGATTCTTTTTGAAAGCACAGTTCATACCCTTTATAATTTAGTTCATCTTCCGTTTGTTTATTTATGACAGATTTTATGAAGCAGGATGCATTCAATTCTGTCCCTTCTATTTTTTGCCCTTTATATTTAAGGTATGTTTTTAGTCCTGATACTTTTGTTACTTTGACGCTTGTTAGGCGCTGCATAATCGTATTCTCAATACTGTTATGGAAGGAACTACCATCACATTTAAATTGATGTTTGACTAGACGTACTATTCCTTCAACAACAGGGGCAGAACAAAGAAAACATTCTATTCGTTGTGCTACTACGCAGTCTTCCTCTGTAACATTGTCAGTTGAAATTTCTTCAAATATTTCTGTTGTCAAAATATCTGGCTGTAATAGTTTCGGCCATTTTTCGAATGGTAAAGCAGGATCCCTCACACAGTCTATTTTCAATTCCTTAAATCCTATAAAGAAATGCATATCAATCTTTCCTTCGAGTCGTTTCTCGATTTCATTGTTGTTTGAAACTGTTAAAGACTTTGATGGAACGAGAACATTACTTCGATCAGGAATGAATACTTGCGCAACATTCTGGAAAGGTTCTTTTTCCTTGTCTACCAATTTAATAATATTTTCAAGAGCTTTCTGGACACAGAGTAATGTATTATAAGGAAGTGGTTCTTCCTTGTATTGTTGTTTTATCTCTGCTAAAACTGATGAGTAATCGGAACAAAGTGGGGTTTTGTGCGAACCCAATTTCTGAAATAATTCTTCGTAAGGCCCAAAACAGTTTGGAAGTTTGTACAAAAATGGTCTTATTTCTTCAACTTCGTTGAGATTGACAACAACTTGGCGAACCAGTAACATTTTATTATCTTTTGGGTGGTAAAAAAATTGGAGTAACTTTGGGAAAATTTTTTATTTCCCTTTGGGCTCCTCATAGATTTTTGAAAAAGCTTGGGTAAAAACATTTCATTTGAGAATTAAAAAACTAGGGTTTAAATTTAATTTCTGTCCCCTTTTCAAGTTTTTTTTTGAAACTTCAGTCACGTTTTGACAATGTTGAACAATCCGATCCATTGGTGGATATTCGTGGATTCCAAGAGATATTCCCATGCTCTTAGAAGATGGTAAGCCCGGGGAAAAGAATTTTGGGCTTGCCAGCATTGAAATTTAAAAATTTTTCTATATGACCCCGGGAAAAAATATTAAAAAACTGCCCTTTCCTGTTTTTTTGGAATAAATGTTCATTTTCTTAAACCAATTTTTTAAGGGACAACCAAAAAAAATTTTTTATTTTAAAAAAGAGTTTTCTCCTGGGAAACTTTTAAGGGAAAAAAGAAATTTCAAAAAGCTTTCAGATTTTCTTAGTTTTCTCATTTATACGATTGTTGATCGTACCTTCGAGCCTCTGTGCAAAATCAATCAGCAATCCCAGTAGGTTTCTTATCAAACCCTGAGTTTTTTTCAAAATTTTTCCAAAGTTTTTCCCCTTTTATTCCTTTGGGGGGGAAAACAATTTTCAAAACAACATTTTCAAAAAAGGCGGAATGGGTTACAAAATTTATATAGTTGGTTCACCGGTTTTTCTTCCCCAAAACCCCCGGGTAAAAGCAAGGGAAATTTTTAAATGTTTAATGAGATTTAACTGATTTTGATCAAACTTTTGGCTAAGTGATCTCACTAAGATTTTATTCTTTATATATTCAATATGTACTGTCCAAGCACTTCTTGGAAAATTATCAAACTTTGGAAATATGTTTTCAATGTAAACTTCAACCACAGTCTTCGTAGGAAAGTCTAAAAACCTGTATAATTTTCGAAGTTTTTCAGTTTTCATTAGAAAGTAATGTTATTCCATTGCGTTTAAGTGCCCAATCATTATACATTAATCGGTTTATACCGACTGGCAATATACCCAACAGAGCATTGCAAACATTTCGATTTCGTTCTGGTGAGAAATATAAAGTGGCAGATTTTTTAACCTTTTTTTCAAAGTTAACTCATCACAATTCTTTCTCATCTGATCTATTGCACCATCAAAAAAGCTTAGAACTGAAATGCATTCATCATGTGTTATTTTGCTCATTTGAAGTTTGGTTCTGTAATAAAATAAACATTCAAGTAACTGCACTGGTCTTTCATGCGATGGCAGCATCCTACTTAAGTGAGGGGCAACTCTATTATCAGGTCTCAATAAACAAGATTCATCCAGACGCGGTAAACATAATTTCTCCAAAACGGTATATAAAGCATCATGTTGGCTCAAGTAGCTTTTGTTATATAGATGATTTGTGTTACGAAACGGGATAAGCTGAAATTGTTTTACGGACCCAACACAGTGAAATGATGGCATAAGAGACCAATCATTGAACATGCAAATGTTTCTTTGAAATAACTTTTGGTCTATTCCATTAAACACTGAGTTATCAATTATTTTGAAAGATTTACTGTAAATGAAAAAAAGTATCCTTTCGATAATGTTTGGTTTAATTGGAACACCAGCATCTTTATTCCAATTAACGCAAATTCCGGAAGCAAAAATGGCTGAATTAAATGTTTCCGGGAGTATTGAAAGTAAATTCTCTACTTCAAATGTTTTAATAACTTTTGATGTATGGTATTCTTTCCGATTTACAATAGAAATGATTTCTATATGTACAAACTTATCAGCTGATCCAATCAAAACATCACACATATCTGAACAAAACACAGGGGTTTGTTGCTTAAAAAGGTCTTCAACCAAACATTTTTTTTGAGGACATAGAGGTTTTAAACCATCAATGTTTTTAACAGTTAAATTCTCATCGCAAAGTTTATGTTTAATTCAACAATGCTCTGACAGGGACTTAACATTTGAATCTTGTTTTTCATAACGACTATTCCTTTCCCCAATACGACAATGTCTTCCATTTCTCATCCAGAAAAAGTTGTTTAGAAATCTGGCCACAGATTGAGTGTGCTTCTGGAAATTATTTTTAAAATTTTAGGAGTTTTATAATTTTCAACCCCAAAGGAGTTTTCAATGACTTTTCCATTCAATTTTCTTTAAACGTATATTATAGGGCGGATCTGCATCTTTGTTTTAAAGACGGTTGTTTGAATGTTATATTGTTTCATACAACATTGAAAGTGCCATTTGAAATCATCATCTGATTTAGAAAGAGGACACCCAAATCCAAATCATTTTATTGCATTTTTCCTTCGGTGACGGTTATCCAATGCATGTCTTTCCCAATCGATGGAAAAAGTTGATTTCTCTTCAATACACGATTTATAAAAAATTACTGACAAAATAATTTCCAGTTAGCGTCAAAACTCTTTTCCCATTTTGGAAAATTTTCATGATATTTTTCCAGAGATGGGACTATTCATACCCCTCATCCAAAAAATTTTTTGTAAAATTTTCTCAATACAAAGTCCTTTCAAATACCTGTAAAGGTTATGCATGCTCGGTTTCATATTCCGACTTAGTAATTCAAACTATTACCAAAATCAATTTCACAACTTTCTATCTTTCCTTCACGTTCCATGCTTTGTCCTAGCTTTATCTAAGGCAAATGGGATTTACGGAAATGGTAATTTCCAGTTATATAGGAAAGGGAAAACAAAAACTTTTCCTTAAATTTTTTCCCTTTCCGTTATTTCCTCCCTTTTCATCAGAAGACGGTACTATGTGTTTCATTTTCCGGCCAAGGTTTAAAAGCATATGGCAAGTTACTGGGTTGTAAACCCAATCTCTTAGTTTA